TCTCAGTATCTTCCACCTGAATCATTCCAAATCTTCCAGAATTTCGCAGAATCTTTGAGAATCTCTCTGAGGGCATACACACACTATCTTTGAGAATCTTTGAGAATCTTCCTGAATGTATCTGGCCGCAATTAGGGGGGCACTTGGATGAATCTCGCCGCAATCAAGTCCAGAGTTTCGTAGAAAAAAAGCTAATGTGAGTATGCCCTGAATCTCTCTCTCTCTCTCTTCGCCCCTCTCGTTTCACTCCGTGCATACTCACTCTAGGAGTTTATCGACCTTTCTCTGACCATGATTCAAGCCAGGTGCATCGGATTTCATCCCTCTCCATCCGCAATTCCGGCCGTATACATTTAGAGGATCGTTACTGTGACACTGTCCACGTTAACCTTTGACGAGCCGCCGAGATCGACAAAGGGAATTAGCTGCGCCGGTGACCCACGGTAAACATTGGGGTTCCCCCCCCCCCCCAAAAAAAAAATAAAAATAAAATAAAATCTGGGCCATGTGGTTTTCTACAGAGGGATGGCTCGGGATGGGGAGTGCACCCGAGGCCAGGTGCCCTCTGCTATTTTCATGTTATGCTATTTTCATGTTATCCTTTGCTATGTTGACGTAAGCCTTGGGCACTGGGCCCATTTGAAATAAAAGTCCAGTATTCCTGCAAAAAAAAAAAAGGGCCAGCTCAGCTGGTGGGGCAGAACGGCTGTTTTTGTGTGTTGCCCTGTGTGACCCCCAGGGTTGGAGTTTCACATTTACAGGCCTCAGGCCTGCTCGCAAGAGCGTCATTTATGTCTTGTGATGAATAGGGGTGTGGTGTCACTGGTGTGTGAGCAGGACGAGACGTATAATCGCGAATTAACACCCATCAAATTTGTGAAAATACGTGATTACCGTAGTGTGAGTATGCCCTCAGTTGGTACATCCTTTTAGGTGCGAGCAGTGCTGCAGGTAAAAAAAAAGACAAAAAAAAAGGGAAAAAAAAGGGGGTGAGTATGCCCGCAGTTGGTACACCGATGAACTGTTGACCTACAGGCTCAGGGCATACTCGCACTGCCGTCTTGACCCGAATAGAACGCCTGGTAATTATAGCCGTATCTGGGCTGAAAGTTGTGCCAAATACAGCTATACTACTGCTATAGTGACCAGATCTTTTGTCTTCTGTGCATATGGAGAGTAGCGGAGCGACGCCCATTTACGGGACACGGAACGAAAAACGAAACGAGTGCATCTTCCTGCAGAAAATGGCCAGGTTCATCGGTCTGCTATAAATAGTAACGAGTGTATTTGCCACCTTTCGTGGGCAGATGGACTCATTTCGTTTTCGTTTCGTGTGCCGTGCGGCGAGTTACGGAGTAAACGGAATAACCGCCTAGCGGGTCGTCTTTTTCTTTTTTTTTTTCGAGTAGTGTGTTTTATAACTACTTGAAAAGGGAAAAAAAAACAATTATTCCCCCCCCCCCCCCAAAAAAAAAAAAACAAAAACAATTGCCATTTTACGTACAAACAAGAAGGGATATCGGGGTAACTTCAGTGGAGTCACAAAAACGAGTTATAATTGCACTATGGGGCCATGGGCCAAGATACAGTTTGCAATTGCACTTCGGGCTGGGTTCTATACATTGCCCGAACTGCAATTGCAAACTGTATCGTGGCCTTAGATCCGTCAGCAGGGCATCCATCCAACCGACCAAACATCGAAACCAGGAAACAGACATGTCGCCATCTGTTCTTTGATACCGAAATACTTTCATCCCATCCAATCCTCATGTTCCTGCCATTCTGGCCCACTCATCGCTTCCGATTGCCCTTTCTCTGTTTGTGTGTGTGTGTGTGTGTGTGTGTGTGTGTGTGTGTGTGTGTGTGTGTGTGTGTGTGTGTCACAGAGTGTG